GTTCATGCTTAAGGAGAAATACCTGTGAAACCTGTTTCAATTATCAATAACAAAAGGAACAGGATAATAATAGTATCAAACTGATAAAATTGTTGTATTAAATGACTAATAGCAAAATGACAAAGATAATTCATTAGTGTGAAACTCTTAGAACACTACTTGACTTACATTTTAATAAATGTTGGCTAACATTATTGCCTCAAAGATGTAAGTCTCAAACTGATACATTATTCAAGTAATTTAAATCCATTATAATTACTGATTAGACAAAGATACCCACAGAGAAACAGCTCCCTAATGGGGAAAAAAAAAAAAAAAACAGGAATCTGAAGCCTCTCCTCCCCTAAATTCCCTATTCCCTCTCTACTACCACTAATGCTAGATCAGAAGCACCTCCTCTTTTATACCATGCTACATCTCTATTACAGCATCATTCAATATATTTTCACTRTCTCCCCACCAAAGCTGCTGTGAGTTCCTAAAAGTAAGCAATTGTGTTGGTGTCTCAGCACTTCCAACGCACCCATTCCTACACATAACAAATGTGCTAAATTAACAAATGTGTATTTTATACAATCTAGTTCACGTGATCTGGTTCAGGATTGATAGTTTATGGATTGCAACCACCTTGACATCAGACCTTTCAGGAAGGTAGGCAGCTAAGGAATTTTAGTTGGGATCAGGAATAAAAGAAATGATTGTTCAAGAGACACTTAAGCTGGGGATGTAGTTCAGAGGTAGTACTTGCCTAGAATGCATGAAGCCCTGGGTTTGATCCCCACCACACCAAAAATAACAAAAACAAAAACAAACAAAAAGAGACTAATTTAGCACTCTGTGAGGARCAGGCAACAAATTAAGCTATAGGGTTATAAAAAAGATCCAGCTGTCACCCCCTACTAATGAGGGGAAATGTTAAAGGTAGATTAATTCTGCTGACTGTAAGTTGCCATGTTCTTTCCATTACAACAGTCTCTTTCAAATGTTGACTAAACACACTGTAACAAGACACAATCTGAGGCAACATTCAGCACAGATATACACATTTCTTATCTTTTCTATTTAACTATATTTAATTTCACKTTCCAAAAATGTTCATCTTGACATTCTATATTGGTTTTATGACTCAAAGGCTAAAAAATACTGCTCTAGAAGATACATTTTTAAAACATTCTCTGGAAATTCAAGGTCAGATATAATTCCTGAAAATTAATTTTGCTTACATAACAAATCTGGTATCCCAATAAAAAATGTAGAACACTACCAAATCAAATAACACACAAAGATGAACATATAGCCATAGCAGCTGTGAGGAACCTAAACCTCATCTGCATCAGCTTTCCCTAAAGCCACCCCAAGTAAATACCCAATCTAAGGGAAATAACATTTGCTAAGCAAAAACAGCTTAGCAGAAAGTTTCCTGGTACCCCAAGTCCCTGCCAATCAGACTGGTCCATAAGACTCTCAATCCTATATAGAAATTCTGGAGCTCCACTTATAATGAATATTTTTTAATAACTTTATTTTATTTATTTATTTATTTTTATGTGGTGCTGAGGACTGAACCCAGGGCCTTGCATGTGCGACGAAAGCATTCTACCACTGAGCCATAACCCCAGCCCCCTGAATATTTTTTTAACTATTTCATGTACAGAGACTTTAATGTACTTGGACAACAATAATTTTATTAAAATAAATGAAAGTCAAAATAAACTGCTATAAATAAACACATTTTGCTTTTCACAAAATCTCTCTCTGAAATTTGCCAACCTTCACTTAAATTGGAAAAATGGGTACACAGATTTACCCCAGATCCAAACAAAGCATGTAGAAATGAATCACTAGTTATGTCTTTTGGATAAAATACTTAAGACTTAATACTTTGTCCTTAAAATACTAGGATAAAGGCAGTATAAAACTTTTCCTCAACATGAGATACCTGTATAGCACTTCCCACTAAAAGAAATGTTAACTATCACTTCCACCTTGTAATAATAGCAAGCTAGGGAGGAACAAACTCATTGTCTTCAGAGTTTTTCAATAAATGTGTTCCTCTGACAATGTCAGAAATAAGCAGAAAGACCAGAAAATCCTTTTTTCCACCTTCTATGTCCACAAGTAATTCTCCAGCTCTGAGAATGTAAACTAAATACAAGAAAATTCATTAAAATCTTTGGGCTTCACCATTCATCATCCAAGAAGCATGTCAGCATTCAAMGGACTCATTTTTGTGACATCTGCTGTACATTAAGAGGCAACATCACAGAACTTTAGTACATTTTTGAAGCTGGGAGCAGTGGCACACGCCTGTAATCCCAGCAGCTCAGCAGGCTGAGGCAGGAGGATCACAAGTTCAAAGTCAGCTCAGCAATTTATCAAGGCCCTAAGCAACTCAGCCAGACCGTCTCAAAATAAAAAACGAAAAACGGCTGGAGATGTGGCTTAGTGGTTCAATCCCTGGTACAAAAAAAAAAAAAAAAAACTTTGTGTTACCCCAAACAGAAGTTTGTTTATTTATTTATTTGCTGTGCTGGTGATTGAACCCAGAGCCTCACATATGCTAGATGAGTCTAGCACTGAGCTACATCCCTAGCCCAGTAATCGGTGCAGAACTAGAGAACCTGACTGTGTTCTATTATGATCAGACTCTCTGAAACCAAATATTTTACATATAGGGAAAACATTTAAAATATACACACTAAAATATTCTATATTTAAGTGAGGAACTGACCAAATTGTCAAAATGAGATAGCCTAGAAAAGAGCAGATCCATCAAAGACATTGATGCAGATCGTGTCAAGACCACTTTCTAAGCAGGTAGCAAAATAAACTACAGAGTAGCTCTATAATCAGTAAGGGAATGATACCCCCAAGAAAATAAAAATACACTACAGCTGTGCTATGGCCAAAGGATAACTAACTTCAAATAGTAACTCTACATTTCTTATAATCTCAAAATCAATGACAAATTAATTTTTTTCACCTTTTTCACTTATAAATACATCACACACAAGCCCAAACATTTCAATAATTTTGTTGCATTTAAAGTAGAAACAACTTCTGGAATCTGTCTGTAAAAAGCTAATGAGCTCATTTAAAATGAACATACTTAAGTATAAAGAATAAAATAATTAGTATCAAAATATATTTGGGGGGGCTGAGGTTGTGGCTCAGAGGTAGAGCGCTCACCTGGCATATGTGGGGCACTGGGTTCAATCCTCAGCACCACATAAAAATAAAATAAAGGGGGGCTGGGGATGTGGCTCGAGCGGTAGCGCGCTCGCCTGGCATGCGTGTGGCCCGGGTTCGATCCTCAGCACCACATACCAACAAAGATGTTGTGTCCGCCGAGAACTAAAAAATAAATAAATATAAAAAATAAAATAAAATAAAATAAAGGGAGCATGGGAGGAATAGATGAAATCTAGATAGCGCAGAGGGGTGGGAGGAGAAGGGAGGGGGCACAGGGTAATTAATGATGGCTGAATGTGATGATCATTATTATCCAAAGTACATTTATGAAGACACAAATTGGTGTGAATATACTATGTATACAACTAGAGATATGAAAAATTGTGCTCTATATATGTAATAAGAATTATAACGCATTCTGCTGTTCTACATAAATATAAATAAATAAATAAAGGTGTTGTGTCCACCTACAACTAAAAAATAAATATTTAAGAAATATATATTTGGAAAAGCTCAAACTATATCAAGCAAAGTCATTCAAAGACAGCAATGAAATTCCATTAAAAATTCAGCATAACAGATTTGAACTTCATTTTTTTTCTCTACCACTGCTATTGCTTCTGGTTCTAAAAGTGAAGCTGAAGCTCACCTACTATACATAAAAAGCAGGAATCTCAACAAGACACAGGACAAGAAAGCAATGAACACCTATCCCTGGGGTTTCAGTACTTGCAGAGTAATAAATGGCATTGCTGGAAGGAGAAAAGGCTTCATCTGGGGCAACTGAGAATATTCTGACAACAGCAAGAGTCTGTCAGGCTCCATAAAAGCTCTGTACTGTCAGTCCTTCTCTCCTGTGTATGGTCAAAATCTGCAGATGCAGCCTCGGCAGGAAAAGRAGGAGACCAAATTTAAAAATGGAGAACTGCTATGCTGCTTAACCTTGAGAGTAGGCACCCACCTCACTGTTCTAAGCTCTCAACTGCAGACTACTGACACCAGCATCTGTGGCATGATTGTTAAGGAAACTGCCAGCCAGTTAAACATKTCTGTGATAAAAAGCCTCCACATCTGACAAGCACTAGAAACCTCAATGTGTTCTTCATTATCTTAATTCTTGGAGGAAAAAAAAAAATCAAGTAAGTATAATAATGGACATCGCATTTTCACAGAAGCATTAAGTTCTCAAAGTACATATGGTTTATAAAAAGAAAATAAACACTACTTTTCATTTAATTCTATGACAGTCCACTTCAGACTGGTCCCCAAAATGCAATTTAAAAGCAGAAATAGAAATCTGCTTAAAAGCMCTCAAGAGAGAAACAAGCTTAACACAGACAACTTAATTTTTAAAACTTAACACTGAGATAATACATAGATTATAGAGGGAAAAAACACAAAAAGCCATTTTTGTTTGGCTTATAATGTTATTAACATAGTTCAATATCACATTAAATGAAAAAACTTATTAAACTGCCTATGCACAAATCTGGTTCGTCAYTATTCTCAATTCCCAATGTTTATGGGCTAAACATCTTTATAAACCCTCAAGTCCTACATAATGCACTCCTGTTTCTCTACAAGAGCTCTCCCAGTTTTAACAAATGAATGTCAATCACATTAAAAATTTAATTTAAGGAATTTAAGAGAAACCAAATAGGATTGTTTTTCGTTTATTTTTCAATAGTGTAAGCATAAAAGCATCTTCAACCCCAAGCATAGCAAATATTCTGTCATGTCTACTGACTTAAGCATAACATTACAGATTTTTTTTCAGATGCATTAAACAAAAGTGCTCACATTCTTACCTGTATATCCAGCGAACCATCCCCAGGAAGCCACCATTCCTAAAAGCCATTTATACATGGTTCCTTCAATATACCAGAACCGCTTACTGTCCAGCACTCGAAGGGGCTGCAGAACAATTACATAGCAGACGTAGGATGGAATAGCAACCAGGTTGTTGAAGATCATGAAGGCAAATCTCATCAGAGCTTTCACCAAGATCCAGCCCCTTCGTGGAACTTCTTCCAAAGTCGCAGCCATTCTCACATTGGAGTCCATTCTGTCTTCCTGGGGTGAAAGGAAAATTCATTTAAAAAGGAAAATGGACTAAACACATCTAAATAGTCACCAGCAAAGAATCGCCTCCAGCACAAAAATAAAAGAAAAGGCTAGGGTCTAAGCTTTCCGGGTGCAGTACCTCAGCTATCTCACCGGCAAATTCCAGAGGGGGACAGAGAGCGAGGGAGAAGGAACCGCGCAAGGTCAAGGGAGCGGTTCACCGGGGCACTCGGGGCATGTCATAATATATTTAGCAAATGATAATACAATTCCCACTCCTAATTGGAGGCGGTCCCCGCACCGCGTCTCACTGCGGTCGTCTTTCTAGACTTTAAAGAAGAAAAACCAACCCGCTAGCTTCAGACACCCTCAGTGTCTCCCAACTGAGGGTACACAAGTGAAAGGACTGAAGCAGGCACCTCTCGGTCAGATTTCCCAGAGAGCGAGAAGCTAGGCGTCCTCTCCACCACCATTCCTGCACATTGATTCATCCCTTTAAAAGGTCCCTCGCATCAGCCAAGAGTTACGCTCAAAATTCTCATTTGCAGCAATAGGTTTTTTTTTTTTCCTTTTTCCTTTTTTTTTTTAAAGAAAAAAAGGAGAGGGGCCTAGAAAAGAGAAGATAAAAGGTGAAAGGAGAAAAGAGGGGCTTAATAAGGCAAAAACGAGAAAGYAGTAGGGGGAGGGGAGCAAAAGCCAGAGGGAGGTAAAGGCAGGAGGCCAGGGATGAAGAGAATGAGGTCTGCGACCGGAGGACCGGGAAGCGAGGAATGATGAAAGAAACGGGGACGAGGAGGGGACCACCGCGAGCTGGCTGGGGCACCGGCAGCGGTTTCCGCGGAGGAGGAAGGGGTCGGGCGGCGGGCGCGGGCCGCGCTCCGGGCTCACCTCGGCGGGAGCGGGCGGCAGGCAGCGAGAGGCGAGCGGCGGCAGAGCGCTAGGGCGAGCGAGGTCGGGAGCCCGCGGCCCGGGACGCGGGACGGGGCGGTGGCGGGTGTCCCCTGCCGAGAGGTCGCGGTCATGGACGCGGCGGCGGCCGAGGCGGCCCAAGGCGCTGCGCGAGCGGGCGCGAGAGCGCCCTACTCCCCTCGCGACTGCCTGCGGACAGAGGGACGGCAGGGACTCAAGAGGCCGGACCTGTCACCGGGGCGGGTCCCGGGGAGGCGGGCGGATGCCCCGCGCCCCCGCCTCCTCCCCCGGGCCTACCGCGCCCTCGTCCCTCAGGCCGCCGCCGCCTCCTCCCCGGGCCACGCGACGACACCCCTTCCCCGCCCCCAGCGCCTTCCCGGGCCCGGCTCCACCGCGCCGGGCCTGCACCCGCCGAGCCGGAGGTTACCTCGGACTAGCCGGAGTCGGGCCCCGGCTGCGGGAGCAAGAGGAGCCGGAAGAATGCATGGCCGGCGGCGGGGCCGGCGGAAGGAGGCGGCGGCGCGGCCCGGCCCCGCTCCGGCAAAAGCGCGGCTCGCGCCGATTCCCTGGCGGCTCCAAGTCTTGGTCCCCGGGGCCCAGCTGCGTTCGCCCGGGCTGGCGGGGAGGGGCGGCGGGAGGAAGCGGCGGGAGTCGGGACTGCGGCGGAGCCGCCCCCAGAGCGCCCTCTAATGAAAGCGCGGCGGCCGCCGCCCGCGACCCGACCCTGCTCGTCGGCGGGTCTGGGCCCGGGGCTGCCTGGCCGTTAGGCTAGGACCTCGCGGAGCCAGAACCCAAGCTGAGGGCGGTTCTGAGAGGTCTAGGAATGAACACCAACCCTTACACCACACGCCGAGTGCTTCGGTCCAAACTGAGAGCCCCTTTCAGCCCAAACCGCCGCTTTTCATTGTTAGAGCGCCTCTGCCAAAAGTGGGAAGCTGTCTCCTTGAAGACTGAATGTCCTTTTTTCATTCCTAATGAAACCCAGTTGTGCTCCTGGCTTTTCTTCTAAACATCCCCAGAGTATTAAGGTCTAGAGTTTTAAATCAATTCCTTTAAGCGCCAGAGTTCTTGTTTCTGGAAAGCACCCGGAACATTAATGACAATTCCAATTTCCCATCCTCCCTCACCCTAGATGAAAAGGAATTCAGTGGGAATCCAGTGATCTACACAGAAAGACTGAAATTTGGTTAGTCAAGAAAGGAAAAGCACTTAACCAAGTCCCTAGAATTGAACAAATCCTCAAAAAACTGACTATAGGAACTCCTAGACAGGACACACAATACTGGCAGGTACTGTAGCTGCTTTCTGGTTGAAAGACTGGACCACAGGAAGGAAAACAAAGAAATAGCCTAATGGTTGGTCCACTTGAACAGTCTCAAATGATCTGCCTAAATTTGTTTTTAAAAACCTAACTTTAAAAATCTTATGCCCCTTCATCACAATTTTAAATAGGAGGGCACTTTTTCCATGTCCCTAGAGCATTGTTGTATTTGAATAAGTACAATATATTCTGCTTGTTTTGAAAATGTTGTTCACTATGTTGCTTTGGATTCTTAAAGCACAGTCTTCTCAAAGCACAGTCTGTCTTGAAAAAAATATTAGATTCTTTTCATTTATTATTAGTTTATTTTTATTCATGTGTTATCTATTTCACTAATGTTATATTTTATGTGTGTGTGTGTGTGTGTGTGTGTGTGTGTGTGTGTCTGTGTAGTACTGGGGATTAAAGCCAGGCCCTTGCACATACTAGGCAAGCACTCTACCAATCAGCTACACCCCATCCCACTAATATTATATTTTAGCTGTATAGGTCATAAAAAAGCACAGGCCAAGTCAGGAAACTGTTCACAGAAGCTCAACTGATGTATAGCAATAGAAAAGCTAGATATGCCCATTCTATTCCTTGTATTCTGTCTTTTAAATAAATCATGAGCAAAATAATATATGTATTTTAGATTATTGTTCACAAGGTATCATTATATTCTTAAGGAACCTAGTACCTAGTGAGGCACATATTTCTTTGCAAGAGTAAATTCCCCTAAAGATTCCATTCTTTCCTTCCCATTCAGCTTTCCCACATGCTGAGTAAACACAGGCTGACACCTGGAGAGAGATAACCTACAATGGGATTTACGCCTAGTTCCTGAAGGTGGAACATCTGCCTGAGCACCAGATACACCAGCACTTAATGAGATGAAATTAGTACCTGCCAGCCAAGCCCAGAAAAGAGCCAGAAGAGGTCTGTCCAGCAGGACCTGAAGCAGTGGGTCTCAAGCTTTAGTGTGGGAAAAAAAAAAAAAATCACTTGGAATGTTTACCAAAAAAAGAAAGAAAGAAAGAAAGAAAGAAAGAGCAAAGAAAAGCCTTGATTCTTAGGCCTCATACCAGAGCAATTTAACACTTCTGTATCCAGAGGGCCTAGAAGCTTGCTTTTTAAAAAGTATCATAAATGATTCTCATGTAGGTAGTATAATCAGGTTGCTTTAAAAACCTCAACCTAGAGTTATCCTGAAATGATCACATCCTTTTCTAGACCCTTCATAATTTTAATCATTTGATCATATCTGTTCTCATCTGTACTAATCTGCTAGGGCTGCCCCAGGCTGAGTGGGCCTAAACAGAGACTAATTTGCTCACAGTTCTGGAGACCAAAATCAAAGGTCAAGATGTGGGCAGGTTTGATTTCTTCTGAGGTTTGCTTCTTGGTTTGCAGGTGCCACATTTTCACTGGGTGTTCACATGGTCATCTCCCAGTACATGCACCTGTCTGCTTGCTCTTCTTAGTTTCTCTCTCCAAATCTGTTCTTATAAGGACAACTGAGATTGGATTAGGGCCCACATTGATGTCTGCATCTTAACTTACTTACCTGTTTAAAGACCCTATTTCCAAAGAGTCACAATCTGAAAAAGGAGAGGTTWGGACTTCAACATATGAATTATGGGGGCACAGCTGAGCTATAACATCCTTCTACTCTTTTCTAAATTCTACCATTTCACTAGCTCCTCATAGGAAGGACCTGGAATCCCTCATCTCATTGATCATTGCAGATGTTCTCCTGTTGACCAGCTCCAACCTCATTAGACTTCAGGTGGCTGGTGTTAAGGATTGAACCCAGGGCTTGCACACCTGCTAAGCACATGCTCTATCCCCAACCTGTCATTCGAATTTTCTTGAAGCTCAGTAAAACACATCGTGTTCCAGGTACAGATATGCCCTAGTTTTGTGCCAAGGGTGTGTGTGTATGTATGTATGTCTTTAACTTTCTGACCACATAAACACATTGAGTTTTAAGATAATGTGGCAACCAGGTGCAGTGGCACAGGCCTGTAATCCCAGTAACCTGGGAGGCTGAGGCAGGAGGATTGCAAATTTGAGTCCAGCCTCAGCAATTTAGTGAGACCCTGTGTCAAAACAAAAAATAGGGCTGGAAGTGTAGCTCAGTAGTGGACACCCCTGGTTTTAATCCTCAGTACCAATAAATAAATAAATAAATAATTCATCATCTACAAATCATGAAAAATTGTGCTAACATCTTCTGGGAACAATTTCAGGTAATGCTTATATTTATTTCTTGTATTTCACAGTTCATTTTGTATTCTTTCACTTTACATACAATACCTTCCTCTTGCCTTTTTTGTTCTCTACCATACTTCAGCCACTTAGGCAACCTGCTTACCCCCACTGCACTGCAGGCAGATGGATATATAAATGCTGTGGAGAGCCAGGCATGGTGGCACACGCCCRTAATACCAGTGATTCAGGAGGCTGAGGCAGGAGGATTGAAAGTTCAAAGCCAGCCTCGGCAATTTAGCAATGCCCTAAGCAACTTGGCAAGACCCTGTCTCAAAATAAAATATAAAAAGTGCTGGGGACATGCCGTAGTGAATGAGTGCCCCTGGGTTCAATCCCTGGTACGTACATACATACATACATACATACGTACATACATACATACATACATAAATGCTATGGATGACTGTAACAGGGAGATTGAGATGGCCAGTTTTTCAAGTTAGATCTGCAGAAAGCAAGGACCCTCTTCAATGACAGTTAGGTTCCTGTTCCCTCAACCTTTATCAAAACCTGAAATCCAGAATTTCAGAGCTTTCATGTATACCACCAATAGGAAAAATGGGAGACAGACCTCACCCTGTAGTCATAGGTGTGATAGTTTCTGTTTTGAAAGCTCTACAGAGATAGTCCTCTAAGAGAGCAATGGGACTTCTCACATTTCCTGGAGTCTCCAGACATTTGAAAACAATCTAACCATAACACCTTAGAAGGTTTAATTCTACCCATCTGGTTCACATATATGCAACAAATTAGGTTATAACCAGAGAGGAGTTCCCTAGGGCAAAAAATCCTCTTGGGCCCTCTTTTTTTTCCCCCCTCTCCTAGTGGCAATTAAAAAAACATTTTGTTTACCTGTGTTGGTTTCTACACTGAAGTTCCAATGAACTATTTCCTCTCCAGGGGAAACCCTACCAACCATTTTGTATATGTGCAATGACTTGGCACAGGACCCACATCACTAGAAAAGAATGGTTAGTTAAAAATCATCATCCTTGGGCTGGGGATGTGGCTCAAGCGGTACCGCRATTGCCTGGCATGAGTGGGGTGCAGGGTTCGATCCTCAGCACCACATAAAAATAAAATAAAGATGTTATGTCCACTGAAAACTAAAAAATAAATATTAAAAAATTCTCTCTCTTTAAAAAAAAATCAGCAGCCTAAAAGAGTTAGGCTTTGCCACCAATGTCAGCTTTAACTTCAAACAAAAAAGGGAAATATATGTATGGATGTTCTCTATTAGTATCAGTAATCATTTAATATAGGACCTACTGGGTTTATAACTTTAAAATCTTTTAATCAAGGTAAATTTTATTTAAAGACGGTCAAATCACCAAGATTTGACCGTCTTTAAATAAAATACAAAATAGAGCTGGGGATGTGGCCCAGTGGTTGAGTGCCCTTGAGTTCAATCTATGGTACCCCCCCAAAAAAAATTAACAATAGGATAGAGTGAATGGTGAAATCATCATCATCTTTCAAACCATGGTCAGAAGAAATAATGTTACTAATACTCCATTTTAAATTTTACTTTGATTGAAAATAGATTATTTCGGTAACAATCTATGGCTAGAAGTACCTCAGTTTAACCACTAACTTTATAAAATAATAGTACCTTTTTATTATTAAAACATCTTCCTT